ATCGAAGTTATTTAAGTATCTAATTGAGTTGCTTTTGAAGCATAATCATGCTAACTTGATTAGAAATTCATTGGGCCTGAACCATGGCTGAATTGGACCTGTTGAAAGGCCACTTCAATAACCTAGAGTTGGGCTGGGTGGTGGTACTACCCAAGAAAGCGATGGTACCGCCAACGCCCGGGTTCCCAGGTTGTCAGGCGGTGATACCACATAGGTAGGTAATGGTACTACTAGAGCATGGGTTCCCAAGCAATCAGACGGTGGTACCATCAAGTTAGACGGTGGTACTACCAGACTGTTAGGTGGTAGTACCACCCAAGCAGGTGGTGGTATCACTAAAGCCTTAGTTCCCAAGCTTTATTAGGCGGTAGTATCATTAGTATCCCGAAGATTTAAATTTTTGACTCTATTTTTTAAGCTATTTGGGGCCTAAAATACCATACTTATGCTTGCTTGGTAGAGCAATTAAAAACTTATGATTTTAAGTGTGTAAACTCTCTTAAAATATTGAGTCTCTTCCTCGTTGAGTCTGGAAGTGGGTGGTGTGAGGCCTTTTTATAAATAAAAAATATTGAGGTTCTCTCTTAAGCCTATGAAAAGAAGAAAGAGTTGTAACAAGGGTAGTTGATCTTTGCCCGTTGAAAAGAAGATTAGTAGTAAAAATCGATGGCCTTGAGGGAAGAGGAATCGAGAGTGGACGTAGGTCTAAACAACCGAACCACTATAAATCTAGTTTGCATTTCTCTTTATGTTTTTTTTTTATATTACTAACTAATTTAACTGATTTAGTTGCTTACTACTTTTACTCATATTCTAAGTTAAATATATTTTCAATACATATTTTTATCAATCGTACTTTCAAACTAATTTTTTTTAAAACACTAATTCAACCCCCACACCCCCCACCCCTTAACTACTTGAGAAGAGAAGTCAGTAAATATGTAAAATATAGATAATCTCATATGTTGGCTTATTTCTACGGATGATATTACAGACAACTTTCATCAATTGTATATTTTGTTTGTATCTTCTTTTGTCAAACGCAACTATATTTCACCCTCCTTTACTTTGTATTATCGATGATTTGGATTTATTGATAAATTATGATTAAGATTCCAACTATTAGGGATTGGATAAAGAATGAGAAGAGGGTGGCAGTGGAAAGATTATTGGATATCTTAGATGTTATATATTAGTAATGATGGTAAGCTAAATTTTATTTTGATATATATATATATATATATATATATATATATATATATATATATATATGATTTGGTTTATAGAATAATTTTAAATCTTATGTTTGCTATTTTTTTCTCAAGGATGGCTATGCAAGCATGTATATCTTTTTAATGCATCATAAAGTTGACACATTTTCGAAAACTTGTGTAAGGATATAAACAAAAAAAACACTAGCCCTTATAGCCAATATTGATAACAAGAACCTACGACTAAAATTAGGCTACATAAAATGTTTAAAGTCATCATATTGCTTTACAATTGATAATATTAACTTATTCAACCGGCAAAAATTTATATTAGTGTTGATTTTGATCAAATTATTGACATTTTGTACACTTGTAGAGATGATTCTATCTTTGCTTTCTTCATTTTACTTGGTTGTTTTATACTCTTCCAAGGTAAGATAATCTTCCAAGGTAAGTAATTTATAAATATTCTGCTATAATATAATAATCACAAAACTGTATGGATTAGAATTTATAGCCCAATAGCAGCTATTGCATAAGAATCACGAATATATCAAAATATCGACATAAATAGATTCTCTTTTCCATGAACATATTCTAGTATAACTATCTCTAAAGATATTTGGATTTGTAATATGTTACTCTATGGGGGTGCCAATATATTAGTAATAGTATTGATAGTGTGACGATAAAAGTAAAAAACATTCTATAATATTCTTTCTTTATATCACAATCATATATGTCACTGGATTTTCACAAACTATGTTTCAATAATAAATTTATATTTTCAGAACTATTTATTATTTACATTGCATATCATCATCCTAGAAAAAAATACATCAACCCACTTCTCTCTGTCTAATTTTGAAATCTAATAATTACTTTCAATAAGCTTTTCTATCAATTTTTATATACATTCATTAAACTTAAACTCAATAGGTGCTTCTTGCAAGAGTCCAAAAAATTTTAGTCGATTTCCTATTGAAGGAATTCTTGAATTTCTATCATTGACAATATATAAAGATTCATAATGCAATGTATTTTCTCAATTAAAAAATAAATCATTCTCACAAGTCTCTCCCTTTCGTCTCTACTATTCCACATGCGATAAGAAATAGCTTATTAGAACCATCAACACCGGTCATCATCATCATCATCAAAATATTAAGATATTTTAAATTATATTTATGTTGATAATTGGATAAATATATTATATAAAACTATACAAACATACACCGAATGCCCAAAAAATCTGACAAAATCATGCATCCTATGTAGTAATTAAACAAACAATCATTTGATAGTCATAAATGTTTATCTCTCGTAGGAAAGGTAATATTCAATTTGATTTCACATGTCAAACACAAAGGAATTGTGTCAAATATCACAACCAAATTATTATATTAAATATTATCACATCAACAAATTTTAGATTTAATAAATTTCTAATTGTTTAATGTATAGCTCGATGATTAAGTTCATCTTCATCTAAATACGGAGCTAAAGTATTAATGTTGAAGTGCTTATTGACAACATCATGAGTATTATTATATATTATGATCTATATCTTTGTTATTCATTGTTCAACTTGCTCAAATATCTCATAATTATTTTTATTGTCATCCATTATATATTTGAAGCTGTGCGAAAGTGGATCCTTTAACATGACTACTACTTCCCTAATGTACTTGGAATTTTGGGACCGACAAAGGTTGAGCTAAATATTTTATTTGAAAAAGAATCATCCCTATCAAATTAGCATGATATTCGTATTCAAATGACATTGGAAATCTATAATGGTAAACTAATATGAATGAAATGAAGATGTATTCATCTAATACTATACATTAATTTCAACACGATACTATCAAAGATACAGCAAGTTCTCCTATAACAATAGTTTTCAGAGATTCTTCTTCTATGCAAAACCACTCGATTCTATGACTAATGCTTTTAACTTGTAAGGAACATGAGAACAATGGATCAATTTGATTAAAAGACCCAAAGAATACCTCAAACCATCACTTTGATGAGTTTTAAATCCACAACTTCGCCACTCACCGCATGGCCTACTCGGTGACGAACATTTAGCTCAATGCATAAGCTGTTTGAGGAAGATGAGTTCCACGACCACCACACTAGGAATCTAGGCTTCGATGATCAGCATAATCCAACGAATGCTCTCAAGTAACCCAACAAAAGCTTTGGTGCCTGGTTACACTCAGCGATGCAGCCCGGTTGTTGGGCTAGCAGTCCACAGATTCAGCTCATAGTGGGTTTGAATGGCCCACAACCTACCTCCTTACTTAATCTAACCCTAATTCATATTAGGGGATGTGGGTAGCTACGTTTTAAAGACAGAAAGAGACATAAATAGGGTAGCAACAAAGGCAGCAGAGGAGATCCTTGTCGCAGTAAAAAAGAGAAGAAAAAGACATAAATCCAAGGAGAAAGAAAGGGAAGAAAACAAGGACAGCATAGAGAGACTGTTCTCAATCATCTAGCAGTGTTCTCATTTCAGGTTAGATCAAATCTACAGTAGATTCTTACTATGATTACTTGGGGAGAATTAGGGAAGATTTAGATATTGAGCACAATGATGTGATCCTTGTATCTCAGTTATTCTCTTGTGATTGTTAGAGATTGAGATTTGTATATTCATTATTATTATAGTGGATTATCTTTGATTTGTCTCGTGATTTTTACTCTTCACATTGAAGGGATTTTTCATATATATCTTGGTGTTCTATTTGATTATGGTTCAATTTAATTTCGTTGTGTGTTATGACCTGCTAGTATTTGTTCAGATATAAAAGTTATTTCTCTTTATATCCCATCAACTCGGTTGGAGAATGTAACCGAGGCTTGATGTGTTATTCATAATAGCGAAGCCTTCTAAGAACGCCTTGTAACGTAATGAAGAAGCCTTTGGCTAAGGCAGCGAAGTAAAGCCTCTGCACATCAATGTAGTGAATAGAATAGGAGGACACAATGAAGTGAAGTTAAACCTACCCACGTCGAGCTGCTCGCTCATGAGAAGGAGGATTTCGTTAAAATGCTCTTCGGTTACGACCGAGCAATTCATTAAAAAAACTAGTTTATGTATTTTCAAAATTATTTAAATAGTTGACTATGGGTATTTTCAGACAAGGTGGGTAAAAGGGGCCACTCTATGATAAAAACAAATAGTGGTTTAAGATAAAAAGGAGATTTCTATTTACAATCCTTTTTTGAACGTTTTATAATCCTAATATACTCCTTTATAGATGGATAAAAATAATATCCTCAACTTATCATTTAATGTCAATCGTTTTTCAATTTGTTCTATATAATCTTATTTTCTTTCCTTTTGTCTCATTTATTTTATTTTATTTTCTTCTCAGCATAATCGCTAAAGATGATAAAAGGAGATGCAGCTTGGGTTTTATTGTTGGTGCTCTCAAGGATGATTAATCGACGAATGAAATGAATTAATTGTATGGGATAATGATAATTAAAAAGGTATGATAAATAAAGATATGATTAATAATTAAGATATTATATTTAATATATTATTATTTTTTGGATGATTGTATGAATTAAATGTTCTTAATAGCCAAAAAAAATCCAAAAATATATTCGAATGGTTAAACCGTTAACTAATAATTCGATTGATGTATCAAACGGTCCTCGCGGCCCCATAGATCCGATCTGATGGTAATATGAGCTTTTCCCAAAACCGACATAAATAGGGCCCGAATCCTCTATCAACGCAACGACAGATAAGAAACCAAAAGATAAATACCCATCGATCGGCGAAACGTTTACGCTGATGTTATTTCTTCCTCTTTACCAAGCTTTCGTCGCCCATCATGGTGTTCGTCCGAACCCTAGACGGCAAAACCCTAGCCCTCGATCTCAACCCAAGCTCCACTTCCCTCCACGCCCTCAAGCTCGCGATCGCCGCCCGTTCAGGCGTCCCGCCCCACCAGCAGCGCCTCTTCGTCTCCTCCCGACGCCTCCTGTCCGCCACCGTCGGCGGCGCCGATGACTCCTCCACCACCCTCGCTGATCTGGCTGTCCGGCCTTCCTCCACCCTCGCCCTCCACCTCCCCCTCCTCGGCGGCACCCAGACCCCCGCCGTCCCCGCCCGCCCCCCTCGATACGACTTCCTCAACTCCAAGCCTCCTCCAAACTACGTTGCTGGCCTCGGCCGTGGTGCGACCGGGTTCACCACCCGGTCCGATATCGGGCCGGCCCGTGCCGCCCCCGACCTCCCCGACCGCTCCGCGGCAGCTATTGGCGCTCCCGCCTCAGCCGGTGCTGGACGCGGCCGAGGGAAGGGCGCTGGCGGTGAGGAAGAGGACGAGGAGGAGGAGGCTGACGAGAAGGGTTATGACGAGAACCAGAAGTTTGACGAGTTCGAGGGCAACGACGTTGGGCTTTTTGCTTCTGCGGAGTATGACGAGGACGACAAGGAGGCGGATGCCGTTTGGGAAGCCATCGATAAGAGGATGGATTCGAGAAGGAAGGACCGGAGAGAGGCGAGGCTCAAGCAAGAGATTGAAAAGTACCGCGCTTCAAACCCTAAGATTACGGAGCAATTTGCAGATCTGAAGCGAAAGCTTGCCGATTTGACGCCCGAGCAGTGGGATAGCATCCCGGAGATTGGTGATTACTCGCTTAGAAACAAGAAGAAGCGGTTCGAGAGCTTCGTGCCAGTGCCCGATACCCTTCTTGAGAAGGCAAGACAGGAGCAGGAACTTGTCACTGCCCTTGATCCCAAGAGTCGAGTGGCTGGGGGGACAGAGACCCCCTGGTCGCAAACTCCCGTCACAGATCTTACCGCAGTAGGAGAAGGGAGGGGTACCGTGCTCTCTCTGAAGCTGGATAGATTGTCAGACTCTGTCTCAGGGCAAACAGTGGTGGATCCAAAGGGTTATCTGACCGACCTCAAGAGCATGAAGATCACGAGCGATGCAGAGATATCTGATATCAAGAAGGCAAGGCTTCTGCTCAAGTCGGTGACGCAGACGAACCCAAAGCACCCACCTGGATGGATCGCAGCAGCTAGGCTGGAGGAGGTTGCTGGGAAGATCCAAGCAGCAAGACAGTTGATTCAGAAAGGGTGCGAGGAGTGCCCAAAGAACGAGGATGTCTGGTTGGAAGCTTGTCGTTTGGCAAGTCCTGATGAAGCTAAGGCTGTGATTGCCAGAGGGGTGAAGGCAATCCCCAATTCAGTGAAGCTGTGGTTGCAGGCTGCAAAATTGGAGAGCAATGATCTGAACAAGAGCCGGGTATTGAGGAAAGGTCTGGAGCACATTCCAGATTCTGTGAGGCTGTGGAAAGCTGTAGTGGAACTTGCAAATGAGGAGGATGCGAGGCTTTTACTACACAGGGCTGTGGAGTGCTGTCCACTTCATGTTGAGCTGTGGCTTGCGCTTGCAAGGTTGGAAACTTATGAACAATCAAAGAAGGTCCTTAATAAAGCAAGAGAAAAGCTTCCTAAGGAGCCTGCAATCTGGATCACCGCTGCAAAGCTTGAGGAAGCTAATGGCAACGTTGCATCAGTTGGGAAGGTGATCGAAAGAGGTATAAGATCTTTGCAGAGAGAGGGACTGGATATTGACCGGGAAGCTTGGATGAAGGAGGCAGAGGCTGCAGAACGTGCTGGTTCAGTTGCTACTTGTCAGTCTATAATACACAACACCATTGGTATTGGAGTGGAAGAAGAGGATCGTAAAAGGACGTGGGTTGCTGATGCTGAGGAATGCAAGAAGCGTGGTTCCATTGAGACAGCTCGAGCTATATATGCTCATGCTCTAACAGTGTTCCTAACAAAGAAAAGCATATGGCTCAAGGCGGCCCAGCTTGAGAAGAGCCATGGAACCAGGGAATCTCTTGATGCCCTCTTGAGGAAAGCCGTTACTTACAAGCCACAGGCTGAGGTGCTGTGGCTGATGGGTGCAAAAGAGAAGTGGTTGGCAGGAGATGTCCCTGCAGCTCGAGCAATTCTGCAGGAAGCATATGCTGCAATTCCCAATTCAGAGGAAATTTGGTTGGCTGCTTTTAAGCTTGAATTTGAAAATCATGAGCCGGAGAGAGCAAGAATGCTTTTGGCCAAAGCTCGTGAGAGAGGAGGAACTGAGAGGGTGTGGATGAAGTCTGCTATTGTTGAGAGAGAGTTGGGGAACACTTCTGAGGAGAAGAGGTTGCTGGAAGAAGGGTTGAAGTTGTTCCCTTCATTCTTCAAGTTGTGGTTAATGCTTGGACAAATGGAGGATCGCCTTGGTCATGGAGAACAGGCAAAGGAAGCCTATGAAAATGGTCTGAAACATTGTCCCCACTGTGTTCATCTTTGGCTTTCTCTCGCTAACTTAGAGGAAAGAATGAGTGGCCTAAGCAAAGCTCGAGCTGTTCTTACTATGGCTAGAAAGAAGAACCCACAGAACCCAGAACTTTGGCTTGCAGCTATTCGTTCTGAGTCCAGGCATGGCAATAAGAAAGAAGCAGATTCATTGATGGCCAAAGCAGTGCAGGAATGCCCAACAAGTGGGATACTATGGGCTGAATCCATTGAGATGGTTCCACGTCCTCAACGCAAGACAAAGAGTGCTGATGCTCTTAAGCGCTGCGATCATGATCCATATGTCATTTCAGCTGTGGCAAAACTGTTTTGGCAAGATAGGAAGGTTGATAAGGCAAGGAACTGGTTCAACAGGGCAGTTATACTTGCTCCTGATGTTGGAGATTTCTGGGCCTTATACTACAAGTTTGAACTTCAGCATGGTACTGAAGAAACTCAAAAGGATGTCCTGAAAAGATGCATGGCTGCTGAACCAAAGCATGGAGAAAAATGGCAAGCAATCTCCAAGGCAGTGGAGAACTCCCATTTGCCAACTGAAGCTCTTCTTAAAAAAGCAGTAGTTGCTCTGGGTAAAGAAGAAAACCCGACTGTAATAGATGGCATCAGGCCTTAATCAATAGTCAGTCATCACAGCAACATCAAAAGAAACATTAGGTATTCGTACAGATATGGTGCCTTCATCTTTAATATAACTTGTGCCTAACTAGTTTCTGTGATTCTTCTGAACTTTGTAAGAGCCATATGCCAATGTAGGACATACTGTCCTGGATTTCATCTTGTTGTTGTTTGTAAGAACCTAGAATCTCTTATTTAGTTGAATAATTTTGCTCCTGGGTCGACTTACGGTTCTTAATGTTATTAGAATGAGAATCATCTTTCCCCCCTTCTCTGTAAACTGCTGAGACTTATATTACAGATAGGTTTTAGCTATATCAGCTTTGTTGAAATCCACTAATTATCAGTTTTTAGTTGATCAGCTAGTTTAGGCTACCTTGATTAAATTCATTAAAGAAATGTTCATTTATATATGTTTGTTTTCATTGATAATTTTGAATTATATGATACTTGTGCTTGAAGAGGAAATCTTCTGTGCTATTCTTTTATTTATAGATCCAAATGTTTGGAAGTTGGAAACAATTGTTTATAAAAGTTTATATTAGCTGAAATGAGATGAAATGGTAATGTTGAGGAGGAAGCATGGAATTACTAGGAAATATTTTTATTTTTGAACAATTAATATCACTTTGAAAGAGTTTAAAATGAAAAGGAATTATATAAAGATGTTATGGACACATTTAAAGCAGACCAATAAAAGTGGTTAGATTAGGTGAGTTGATTAGCAAATAATGGTATAGGGAGAGTCAGAGGGAAACCTTTAGAGGACGTAACGAGTGATAATACAAAAATATTTGAATGTTCTTAATTTATCAGAGATATTGCTTTAGAGAGTTTAATGGCTGGAAAAAAAATTATGTAGCCGATTTCAGATAGTTGGGATATTATGGCTTGTTGTGGTTGTGGTGGTGATGGTGGTGACTAGCTAAATGTAGCCCAAAGTATGGATGTACATTGTTTGCTTTTCAAGGTTTTTCAAGACATTAGGATTATCATCCATTATTTACTTAATAAAAAGAGGAGAACAAGTGTGGGTTTTTTACGGAGTTCCTCTCTTGCTTTATAATTCTTTGTCTATAAATGCTTTATACACCCACAATGTTGGACACCTTGTCAAACAGTGGTCCATGTACTGATTCACAGTTGGATCAGTAAATACGGGTCGTTCCCAACTTGCTTGAGTGGATTTTTACCCTACTATCAACTAGTTACATTTAGTGGGAGTTTTACTTAGTGGCAATGGAAGCACTACTATTTTATTAACAGTACTCAATGTATGCTTGTCTATGGTGTAAAGGCAGTCATTTGATGGTGTTATTAGTCATACTAGACTGTTCCTTTTCTCAGTTTGGTTCTTTATTGGACAAGGTTTTATAGAGGTGAACTGATGTTAATCATTTTGTGCAAGAGTGACAGTTGTAGATGTTTATCTGTTCTTAGGTGATGCAATAGTATTTTGATTGTGTCAATAGCTATTGAGTATGCATATGCATCATTGTGTTGCTCATTTACTTGACATTATTTAAAAAAAAACATTTCTATTACATTAAGTGTTGTACATGATCTCACTCGTGGATTCGAACCTGAGACCTATCATTTGTGCAGTAATACGGTTACCAACCTGGATGTCTCAACAAAAACCTTTAACATCTTTTGAATGTCACCTTCATACCTTGATTATGCCTTGAATTAACACAGCATTCACCAATTTGTCTTACATCCTGCTGCGTTTAAATTTGAAGTACATTGCAACTGTTACTACAATTTCTCATTTACAGTCATTGTTAGATTTCCCCTTGTCTTTTAAATTTGAAGTACATTGCAACTGTTACTACAATTTCTCATTGACAGTCATTGTTAGATTTCCCCTTGTCTTTTAAATTTGAAGTACATTGCAACTGTTACTATAATTTCTCATTGACAGTCATTGTTAGATTTTCCCTTGTCTTGCAATAGTTTGTTCTTTTTTTTTGGTCATACTAGCCAACATGATGTACCTACCCTCTTCCAGAATCTCTCTGCAATCTAGACATTCTTTTTTATTTTTGCATATGTGGAAGCAGTTCTGTTGGTTGTCAGGTTGTCAAATAGGGGCACCCTTTGGCTGTGCTTCTGCTGAAAGAAAGAACTCGGGAGATGGAGAAGCGCAAATGTGTCTCTGGATGCTCTAACTCTGACTCTCTCATCGGTCACAGAAATTTATGCTCAAGTGCCATGCAATTATGTTATTACTTCATACAAGCTTCTTTCGGAGATGGCAAACCATCATGTTGATTTGTGTTCTTAGTATTTGGTTTGTTGTTCCAAAACTTCATAATTAATCTTTTGGTTTGTTCTCTCAAGATTTGCTTGCTGCAGGATTTCATAATCAAATGTTCTTAGATTAAACCTTATTAATACTGATTCATAGTTTTAGATACCTCATCTGGTATAATATGTGTTTCATGCGTCATAGGGTACATGGAGTTGGTTTCCCTGTTAACTTTGAAGAAATTTTGTTGCAGCTTTCTTGTCTATTTCACATTTTCTACCTTTTGAATAATAGCTTGCTGTTGTAATAAGTTCAGGATCAATGGATTTGCATGATCACAATTCTGATGCTAATTATGACTTCGCTGCTTGTTGAATTCTGCTTCTTGTTTTCTGCCGTTTGTGTGTTATACTGGGTTTTGGGTTTCATATACAGTTTCTTGGTGGTCTCACACCTGATACTTTGACATCCCCTAGTTGACATTCTTGTTTGATCATTCCTTGGATCCAAAATGGACTCAAAACTCGTTTATATGGTCTCAGGTCTTCTATGGTTGTTGCCGATGCATCACACACGCTGTACATGTGATTCACATGAAGTTAATCAAGGTACGCATCTTAAAGCTGTTATAATACCTTAGTTTTAATTTAGTGAACATTTGCTGAGACATACCTTCACCTAATTGTTTGCTTTACATGTAACTATGCAACTAGTTGGTTCCGGTCCCTAGATTTCGTTCTTGTGCCAAATCAAGTATGGAGCGTTGTGATTACATTAAATTATTTTGTGACCTCTTGATGCTTTTTATCTACATTCTTTACTTGAACCACAACAAAATGATCACAATCAAACTTTACTCCAATACTCAATATAAAAATTATTATAAGTTATACAATAAATAAAACAAGAAAGAAGGGACAATTTAAAATACTTAATAAGTTGGAAGAAACAAATAAAAATATAAGAAATCAGTAGAAAATAAAATAAAAAATAAATTAATGGAGAATGGACATGTTAGACATCGGAAGTTTGTCAATTATTTATTTAAGTGATACTTAATTATTTATAGACGAACGTATTCTTTTTTTATCTTTAAGTCTACATTCACTTCAATATTCCCATCTCAACTATATATATATATATATTCCTTTACACAGTAAGCCTGAAGAAACTAAAGGATGCTTCCTCCAATGAAATGATGTAGTTGATCCCCACTTATTCTGCCATAAACAAGTCCGGCACCTTTAGGAAGCAATATTTATGTACTAAAATGGACATTTTGTTTTGAATTAGTTTAAACAAAGAATTGTCACACAATGAATATGTTTCTATTTGTATAATCTGCAACATGCCTTTGAAGTTTGATTCCTTTCCTTTACAGGGTTTAATCTGTTCTTTTCTTGGATATCAAGCTCATGTGGATAGGAGACTCCTTCGAAACCTTTACTTTTTAGTCAAGGATATGGGCTTCTATATGCTTGTTTTAGTAGGCCACACCAGCTCTTGACGCAAATACAATGGAGTTGGTCATTGTTAGATCAATTTACTTCATATATTATGCGGGAGAATTGTAGAGGAATATAAACCTATTTACTGCTTATATATATATATATATATATATATATATATATATATATATATATATAT